ATAGACAGACAGAGACACAGACGCAGACTCAAAGGCAGACCGAATATAACACATAGAACTCAAACAATAATAATCATCATCATCATAATAAACTAGAAAATAATAATAAACTAAAAGCGCTGGGTCACCGACCCAGGACCATGACAATTTTAAAAAGTATAAAAGTAATAAGTACCAAAAGATAAAGCCATAAAGAGGAGAAATAGCATAATATTGTAAAATTTGAATGGTAAAAATAACACAAAAATTGTGGAACTAGTTAACCTGTTAAGCTCCCAGTGGTTTTCTGATCTCTGCGATCTCCTCCCTTTTAAACCCATCTTTGGGTGCATGGGTGCTTAAGAGCTTAAAGGTCAAAAAGCATATGGAAGAAACGAGAACTAGAAAATGCATGTTCTGAAGAAACTGCAGTGTGGATGCTGATAGCTGAATGTTATAATCTGAAATGAAATAATTGCTGAATGTTAAGTTAAAAATGTTGAATGAACAGAATTTTTCACCTGAAAACAAAAGTGCAGAACTGGTGAAAGCTGACGTTCACACAGAAGAAGAAATTTAAAAAAAAGCTGAACGTGTTTAAAATGGAGATCAGAAAAAGCTGAGTAATGAGAAAAGAAAAATTTGAGTCAGAAAACATCTGAATAAATGTTCATGTTCTTTGAATCACTGAATATCTAAAATGTGATCCCTCCACTTGGATCCACACACTTTAAAAAGTTTAAATGTCTGAGCTTTGAAAGACACGGTGTTGGAAAGAGAACAACAATGGCTACGTTTTGAGGGTAAAATAATGGCTGTAGAGCAAACACTGCGGACACAGCAGCAGTTGAAAGAGAAGTGTTTAAGATGAATCTTGGCAGAGTGAGAGCAGTGTTGCCAACTCCTCAGTAAGGAAAATCGCTATTGGCTGTCCTAAAAGTCGCTAGAAGTCGCTAGATGACGTCATCACCTAATTTGCCTAATTGGTCATGCTAATGTAATTTTAATCTACGCTGTTGGAGAGAGAAATATAATCGTGGAAGAGACATAAAGTGAGCAAAAAACATCCTAAAGACATTTAGAATTTATTTAGAACTACAAATTAAATATCTTTTAGCAATTATTGTTTTTTAATGTCACAATTCCAACCCTACTCCCTTATCCGGGCTTCGACCAGCAAAAGTGACCCGAAATAGGCACTCTGGTGGAGTTACTTTGTGTGTGTGTGTTTATAAGTAGTTTTAAACCTTGCGATCCACAAAACAGCATAACAGTAAAAGATGAACTGACTGCGTTACAGTGAGTGCTGGAGCAGCGGCTTCGCTCATGCGTGGTTCATTTGCAGTTTGGATGCATAGGTGTGAACATCTCCTGCAGCTGGGGGAGGACTATCCTCCGCCCGTGAGCACTTTAGCACGGGTGAGGTGCCCACGGCAGCACCGCTGCTTGTTGAGAGTAAGAGCAACACGCCCTTTCACGTCAAAAAGTCGTCATAAATAAGTCTCCAATAACACCAGAAAAAGTCGCCAGATTTGTCGCTAGTCGCTTTTTAGAAAAAAAAAGTCGCTAAGGGGCTCTGAAAACTCGCTAAATATAGCGACAAAGTCACTAAGTTGGCAACGCTGAGTGAGAGACAGAAGCAGGCAGGTGTGAGCCTGGTTGCTATAGAGACTGCACCCAGTGGCACCATACACACGCACACAGAAATGCGCCCCATTTCTGCTGCTTAAAATGAACAGAAAAGTCAGCCCGAAACAAATCATTCCCAAAAGAAAACGACAACTTGTATTGACAAAATTCTTTCACTGTGAGTGGCAGCAATGTCTAGTCTACTGAATTCCCAGTTTTCATGCCTGTGGAGTTTATTATATGGACGTGGTGACAGTGTAAAGACAGCCTGCTCTTCTGATTTTCAAACAAACTTTCTGAGCCATTTTAACATTAGAGTCTATGGAGCAGTTGGAGGGAGGAGGCTGTGCATCGGTGACATTTATGACAGAACCATAACACCTATTACAATAATAAACACATTGGATGAAAGAGGACAGTGATGGCTACGTTTTGAGGGTAAAATCATACCTGTAGAGCAAAACGCTGTGGACACAGCAGCAGTTTAAAGAAAAGATTTTAAGATAAATTTGTTATAGAAGAATAGAAGAACAACACTGAAGAACAATACCGCGGATGGTGATTAAGCATCCACAGTATTGTAAAGGACAAAGAATAAAGAGAAACAGGAACTCAATAGTATGAATGCCTCAGCATACACACAATAAAGCATAAAGAATAAAGAGAAACAGTAACTCAATAGTGTGAATGCCTTACAGCATTCAAAAAAAAAAAAAAAAAAAAGATGGCATACTGGATAAAAACAGGATGTAATAACTTTTAACTCCCACATCCACAGTGAAACATCTGGAGAGCTTATTGGAAGAACTGGGCTTGAAGCAGTACTACAGAGAGAAGCTATCGCTCAGCAGAATACTTGAGATTGGCATGAGGACCACCACTGATGAACCTGCCAAGTGTAAATCTGACCTGTCATGGTATTTTCTACAGAAACTAATGATGTTTAATGTCACTGCTAGGAATGTGAAATGCACATTAGAGTGTGAGTCAAACAGTGATGATGAATCAGGGAGTAAAAAGTTCAGTCTTAAAAGTCTGGTCTGCAGTCCAAACACAGATGACATGGTGAACCCCCTCGACATAATCACTGCTCTCTTTCTGTGTTCTGATGGTTTTCTGCAGCAGGAAATGGCACTAAAAATGTCCATGTGTCAGTTCTCTGTTCCTCTGCTGCTTCCTAGTTGTGACACCGGTCAGTGCACACTCATGCTGTGGGCCATGAGAGACATTGTTAAGAAGTACAGAGCTCAGTCTCTTTCAGAGTCTAAGGGCTTCATTGAAGACAGAATCGTTCTCTCTGAACTTCCAATGATCTCTTTTGTCAGACTGGGTGAGTGCTCCTTGTCCAAGTCAAAGTTTCTTAATAAGCTTCTGAGCAATTCTCAGCAGTACCACGACACCTTTGTTCATCGCAACATGGAGTGTGGTGACAGTCCAAGAAGAATTTCCAACGGACTGACTGAAATTACTTGGTATCTTCCTTGTGGAAACACAAACATTGATATTTTCCGTCAGCCAGTGGCTGTAGCTAACCTTCGTGGGGACATTGCTTCATTTGAAACACAATACTCCTTTTTGTGTCAGACATCTGCAGCAGTTTTTGTCTTCTTTGACCATTTGGATTCTGAGTCTGAGTCTGTGATCAATCTGCTTAAAAGCCAACACCACAAAGGACAGGTCTTCTTGGTGGGAAACTATGAGAGCAAGCGCTTCAATTTAGATGCTTTAGAAAAAGTGGCATCTGAGTTGGGCTTGAATAAAAACAACATCATTATTAAGACAAAGCAGAAAAATGACGCAAATTTTGTAAAAGATTTGAAGAAAACAGTCAGTAATGTGGTTGAGAAATCAGAGCTGAAGATGAAAATAGAGGAGATGGTGGACGTTGCTCATGAACTGGGAATACTGGTTGATGAAGACTCTCCAGAGTGCCAGACTGCAAAAGAAAATGCAAAAACCATCACGGCAGGAATTCAAGACATTTATAAATACAAAGAAGATGAGCTTCCCCGCCAAGGACAAATATGGAAAACATTGACCTCGTTAGAGAAGGAAGAATTTCGACTTCGACATGTTGGATCTAAAAATGTAGAAAATTACAAAAGTGATCTTCAGAAACAGAAAGAAGAACTGCGGCAAAAACAGAACTCTTATGAGATATCAACAGCTATGACAAACTTCATCACTGGGATATCAAGCCCAGGAACAGAGAGGTTTTATTTCCTGAAATGGATGAGAATGAACCTCGATAATGTGTCTCGTATAAAACTGTGTGAACTCAGGGAGAAATATAAAGAAAAATGCAAGAACTCCGAGAACAAAGAGGAGATCAAAGAAATTGATAAACAAATTTCCAACAGCTCACTGGGGATTGAACACTTCTTCCGTGAAATGGGTCAGATCTATGAAGCTTCACTGTCTCTCTCCAAAACACACCCATCACGTCAACAGTTGCACCATCTGCCCAAACTGTGTGCAGAGTTGTTGCTTGATGGATTTCCTCTTGAGCTTGTAGATGGAGATGCATCCAACATCCCTCTCAGATGGGTGAGTGATGTTCTCTCTCAGCTCAGTGACCTGGTGTCTCCAAAGAAAAAAGGAAAGAAGAGAAAGATATTGGTAGTCACAGTTCTTGGAGTTCAGAGCACAGGAAAGTCCACTCTCCTTAACACCATGTTTGGAGTGCAGTTTGCAGTCAGCAGTGGTCGATGTACTCGAGGTGCTTTTATGTTGCTCATCAAAATCAATGAAAACTTCAAAAACATCCTAAAATGTGACTTCTTGGTGATCATTGACACTGAGGGCTTAAAGTCACCAGAACTTGCACAACTGGACAACAGCTATGAGCACGACAATGAGCTTGCAACACTTGTTGTGGGGCTGAGTGATGTCACCATAGTCAACATTGCAATGGAGAATTTAATTGAAATGAAAGACATCCTACAAATAGTTGTGCATGCTTTTCTCAGGATGAAGGAGGTGGGCAAAAAGCCTAAATGTCAGTTTGTTCACCAGAATGTGTCGGATGTTTCAGCCCATGAGAAGAACTTACGAGACAGGAAACTGCTCCTGGATCAGTTGAATGAGATGACTCAGGCAGCAGCCAAAATGGAAAAGAAAGAGGAGAACAAGAGCTTCACTGATGTGATGGAGTACAGTCCAGACACTGGGAACTGGTACATTCCTGGACTGTGGAATGGAAACCCACCAATGGCACCAGTTAGTGCAGGATACAGTGAGGCTGTATATGAGCTCAAGAAAAACATCATCCAACTATTGAGAGACTGTGAGTCATCTGCTAATGATATCATGGAGTTTAAAGAGTGGGTGAAAAGTCTGTGGAATGCAGTAAAGCATGAAAACTTCATCTTCAGCTTCAGAAACAGCCTCGTAGCTGATGCATACATGAAGCTCTGCACAGAGTTCAATAAATGGGAGTGGGAGTTCAGAAAAGACATGTACACCTGGGTAAGAAATGCAGAAACAAAAATTTCCAATTTTGGTACCATTGCAGCAAAATCTGAAACATCTGACATGAGAGAATTTCTCAGATCTTTGAAAAGTGAAGCCTCCACAGTGCTGTCTGCATGGGAGACAAAGATTCTGAACAATCTGACGCAATATTTCGAGCAAACAGAGGGTCATGTGTATCTGGTTGAAGGATACAAAGAGGAATTCTCAAACAGTGCAAAGGTCCTTCGTCGTGAAATAAAAACTGGTGCAATGTATCAGCTTGAAGCAGCAGCAGGAATCAGACAGGGAATGACAGAAATTGATCAAATCAAAGAAAATCATAGAAAAGCTATTGAAAAAGAAGTGCATGCATTAATTGATAAATGTCGAAAGAAAAAAGTCCAAATGACAGACGCAGAGTTGGACAAAGAGTTTGAGAAGATGTGGAAGGAAACTTTAGAAAAACTGTCTTTCTCTGAACAAAAAACCTCGAATGTCACAGACAGTGTGTCCTATTGTCTGAGAGAAAATCTGAAACACAGGGGGGGGCGTGCAAATGAGTTATTAAGTGAAAAGAGTCTGAAAAGTTGTGGAAACGAGTCTTTCAAATATACAGCTGAAGGATGGTTCAACAAATTTAAACACACAGCAAACAAGTTACTTGCCCGTCAGGATCACATAATGGCTGCACAACATCTGGCTGACAGAATTATAGACATTTGCACAGACTTTGTGAATAAACGAGTGAAAAGCAAAAACAATTACCATGACACTTACATCCAGGAGATCCTCCACATGATTGATGTGACTCTCCAAAATAATCAAGATGTCAAGATAAATACTGAGTTTGAAGTTTCTCTAAAACAGCACATCTGTGGATTTGCAGCCAGAGAGTTTCAGAAAATGCACGAAGATTTCATAGAAGAAAATGATCCGTACAGATGTCTGATTAAAAACAAGGAAAGGTTTCATGATGATTTCAAAGATGTGTTTCATGAACGAGACCAGTGTCAGAAGAAGGCAGAAGAATTCACAAAACGATGCTTGAAGCCTGCTGTTGAAGACTTTGTTAATCGTTCCCTGGGCCCTGATATCATTGATGAAATGAGGAAACTCGAGCAGTTCAGCACAAGAATGTCCTTCCAGTATTCAATTTTACTAGATTTGCTCTCCAAGGAGGATTTTCAAAACTATGTGAGCTACATTCGCTCATATGAGAAGTATGTAAAGACATGGATACTTGAACAGATAAAGAAGCACTTCTCAAATGAGTCGACAGTTTTTGAGTTTGAGGAGCGACATTTACGGTCATGTATTGACAGCATAAATTCTGCCATCAACAAGGCAAAAACCAGAAAGAGTGATGGCTTCAAGGCTTTTGTTGAAGAAATTTGTAAAGAACTTGGTGATAAACTGGTCATTTCCCAGGATGCTCTTGGTGCTTTCATGATACTGAACAATGCTGACAAGGAACAGTTTGCTGACTGGCTCACAGCATCTGTGAATGACTTAGAAAAAGCTCTCAGAATTGAGTTTAAAGAATCTACCTTTGACAAGAGATTAGAACATCTCTGTGTAGAGCCTCAGGATGAGCTTTTTAGCCAGCTGATTGGTTGTGGCAAACAGTGTCCATTCTGCAAAGCTCCCTGTGATGCAGGAGGAAAAGCCCATGGTGAGCACTTTGTTTCACTGCATAGGCCATCGGGTCTGGGTAGATACAGGAACTCTGCAACAGGTATACTTGTCGCTGAATTATGCTCGTCCAATGTGAAAAGTCACAAAACATTTAGCTGCAGTGAAACAAAATATGTACCACACCCTTATAAGGATTACAAGGACATTTTTAAAGACTGGAAAATTCAACCAGACGAGAGCCTGGAGGCATCAGACTACTGGAAATATGTTATGACAAAATACAACAGTAGATTTGCCAAAGAATATAAAGCAGTACCTGCTGTCATTCCAGAAGCTTGGAAAAAAATAAACAAAGAACAGGCAGAAAAAAGTCTCAAAGAATCATTTTACATCAAGTAACTTTCCAATTCAGGGTTGTGGGGATGACTAGAACCTTACAGGAGAAAATAGCACAGATATAGTATTTGTGGTATGTGTGTGTGGTGGAGGTGTGTGTGTGTGTGTGGTGGAGGTGGGGGGTTTATTCATGGCACTATAGTAGACACTGGGAAAATGCATGTAATCGTTGAATAATTATTTTCTTTAAATTATTAAATAGATATGATATGTGATTTATACATATATGTTATTGATTGATTTTGTTTTTTGTCAGATATTCACAATTTTGTTTCGAGTGACTTAAATAGAAAAGGAAATAAAAAAAGACTCAATATAAATTTTTTTTCTGTGAGGATTATGGTTCAAATATTTAATTGTTTGGTGTTTAGATCATGTTAGTATAAACATTTTCTTTATTCCTTTGAGTACGTGACTTTGTTTTGCAGAATTTAGAATGAGCTTTTCTTTTACTGACATATCTGATCTTACACAAACTTTTTAAAGGACTTACGGGATTCATTTTCTATCTGACGAGAGCAACAAATTGAGTAAGGTCTATTTGTCACAGTTTTTGAGTCTTTGCCATTGTAAAGTGTTAAGTAACGGGACACATGATCTCAGTCATGTGTATGTGTTGTTTTGATTTGTATGAGTTTTAATGTGTTGGCGTTAAATAAACTAAATTCATCCCCAAATATATGACAATGAAGCTTCCAATGTGTGTGTCCACATACATCTGGACTAGTAAACACTGGTCAAAGTTCAGGCCAGAACCTTCCCTTACAGACAGATCGACACTAAAACTGAATGGTAAAATACCCCCAGCAACAAATTCCTGTACTATAGAGGGCCAGATGTGACAAAATGAAATAATTAAATACGCATTAATTGATTATATAAATGTTTCAATAATTAATTAAATGCTAATTTATTTCATTTAAAACATTGAATAAATCATTTACTTGTTTTCAATTTTATTTATTTAATTCATTATGTAGTTAATTCATTATTGAGACATTTATGAATTATTTAATTATGTATTTATTTAATTCATTTTGGCACTTCAGCACTAACTGGCTCTCTTTCCTCATTCAAATGCTGCAGCATGGTGTATGTGCCATTCCACCTCCTAAGGAGCTTTAGATGTGGTCTGCCCATCTGCTGCTGCATTTGGCAGTGCTTCTTTGCTGTTGTGCTAGACCAGAAATAGCTTACTATCTTCTGAGCCTTACCTCTGAGCTCCTCAAGTCCAGGTGTGTTATCAATTGATTTTCTGACAATTAGCTTCAAAGTATGTGCAATGGACTTTGTGTGGCACACTTTCAATATTTTCCAACATGAAATCATGTTTGGTGCTGCATCTGTGACAAAGCATCTGACCTTATTTTGGATGCCCCACTCCTCCATCAAAGCCTTCTTCACCTCAGCAATATTTTCTGCTGTATGTGTCTTAGGAAAATGTCCCACTCCTAGCAACACTGTGAACAGTGTATCCTGTTCATTAACAAAATGACAGGTCACAGCCAAGAACCCATCCATATGAATGGATGTCCACATGTCACTGGTGAGACTAACAGCTGTAGCCTTCTCCAGTTCTCTCTTCGTCTTCTTCTTTTCCTCCTTGAACTTTTCCACCACCATTTCCTTTAGAGCTTTTCTGGTGGCTGTTGTGTAGGTTGTGTCCAAGACACCAACAAAGTCTCTGAAAGCAGCATCCACAATTATGGAAAAAGGGTTGCAAGTCCTTCACAATCATGTTCACCAAAGCAGCATCGACCAGTTGCTGTCTGGTCTGAGTGGGCTCTGTGTTCATGGTCCCTTCAATAGAAGAAAACTTTTGAATAGGAGTATAAAAATGTGCTTAAGTGTCTTGTGCAAGTTGATTAGTCTTTTATGCCGTTATTCCCTGCTAGTTCTTTTTTTTTATTATTCATGTTTTGGATGGACAGAAACATATAAGCATATACAGCAGGAGTAATAATATTGTCAGTTCTCTGTCAATTTCTCAGTATCAACAAACAAATAAGAGCTAACAATAGCTAAAGAAAACCAAAAGAAAAATGTCTTCCTGACATTTCTAGCAGGTGTCAGTGTCAGCATGCTTCAACCTGACTAGCTTACTGGGAGTCCAGTAATTTCTGTGAAGCAACTTGTATTGGATAAGCTGAGATTGTGCTTCACGTGAACAAACATACCATGATGAAACCAGCTTCTTTCCCTTGGATCCAGATTAAATTCCGCAAATGATTTCATGCCAGTCAGTCCAAATAAATCCACCACCTGGTTGATACCTGCCCTAGCCCAAGCCTCCCACCTGAATGGTTTCAGGCGGAGCTCACGGGCGCGTCACTGCAACTCCCCCTGGCTTCTGCTCCG